TGTTGATTTTGTCACTCAGCACAGGAAGAATTTTCAAACAGTGTTTGAATATAGTCACTCTTAAATCACTTTTGATGTGTTTGAGGAAGGCTGTGGGGCAGCCCTGAAAAGAGGACTTATCTATATTTGGCTTCATTGGGATCTATGCGTCAACGAATTGTGGCCTCTATAGAGTATGACCATAAATTGTTCCATAATCGCTGGACTTGACCTCGCAGTCTGTCTCTTCCTTTATCTTGTGGTGTGCTGTGTTTTGTAAATATTGTGTTGTTATTTGCTTTACATCATCCCCTTAGACCCTCTACATAAACAGAAAGTCACATATATTTCAGAGCCACTATATTCGCAGCTCTATCACTTTTGCTATTAGACATCGGCTACCGCAAAATAGGCGAAATAATTACTTTCTGAAAAACTCTCCGACTACCTTGTTTCTCCGTTTTGATTCTGTTTTCCAAATTGACATCTGCGTTTCAGTTCAAAGATGAACAGAAGAAATGATGGATTTTCTTCAATCAGCTTATCCAACAAAGCTAGGTTCATTTATCTAATCGCTAGATCTGCTAATGTAGCGCTTGTCTAAAAGAGAATATAAATATATTCCTTATATATCCAGGAAAACGGCTCTGAGACGTAACGAGTGAAACGTCATTACAGGTACTGGCTACCGCATGAGCACTATGTACAGAATACTCCACGGTAGCCTTCTCATGTGCTTCTGCTCTGCAGCAATTTCTTCTCTCAGTAGAATCTGTGAATTCTTAAGTTGTTTCATTTGGAACGATTTTAGGCTGAGATATCTAAACTTTCTGACTCTTCGTGAGGAAGACTTAGGTGTGACTTCCACCTCCTGTATCCTCAAACTCTTGGCCCCGTACAGCAGCCCAGAAGGAATTCATGTTTAAAAGAGCTGTGTATTGTTTTGTTGCAAAAATACAAACAAATGAGCGATGTGTCATTCACAGAGGAAGTGGTGAAGTCAAGAGAAGCACCATGTAGTGCTGCACTTGCTAGCATTTTCAACAAATTTTGACTGCACAATGAACTTGGCCTCTTCATTTTCAGCTCTTTGGTTGTCCTCTTAAACACGGACAATACTGTTACTTTTCCCAGGTGCGATGTAAAGATGTTAAATGTGATTTCGAAAGCTGATGATCCATTTGCTATTGACGACAAATTTTTCGATGAACCTCCGAAGGAAATCCACCCGTTGTTAGAAAAATACGCTGAATGCTGAACTTGTGTTTGTCTATTTTACGGATATTAATAAATAGACTGGTCGCATATTAACATAGCACGCAAAAGTGCTAGAAAAAACTA